TATTACTACAGTTTCGGCCAAGGGATGTACTTAATTTCCAAAGCCTTCGCTCATTTTAACCATTTTAATCATTTTCTTATAACCGAAGAAMAGAGGAGACCTTTTAGTTATGCTTAAATCGTTATTGATTTATAAGACTTTACCTTAAATAAGAAGTTAGATTCACGGCTATTAATATAGTACACGTCAAGTAAATCCAATGGCCAGAATGACTGGTGTATTACTAAATAAAAGCTACAAATTGTAGCCAAGAAGCGATGAAATTTTAATCAACTCAAATCCATTCAAATATCGTCTCAAAATAATGAAGTTGTAGCTGCAGAATAATTTCAAGCAAAACAATGACGTACTTCCAACTGTGAGGAAACTTTATTTTGAATTTAAAATGGTTACTAGGTCTGTGGTTTTCGATAATTTTGACTGAATGGCTTCAGAGCTTTCAAACAAGTCCATTTGGCACGACAACACTATATTTGTTATTWAAATATTCCATAATAGTGTAGCTCAAAGTGGCTTAGTTGTTAAATCGTTGCCGCTTGCTAAAACAAATGTGGGAAATAAGAGTAAAATAAATATACATTTTGTACATTTTTCGCTGAAAAACGTTTCTAAAAAAGTTTAGCTTAAAAGTTGAATTGTTTATCACTTCTAGTAAGTGTACAGTAACTTTTGCAGACATATCAATATATAGAGTGTTTGATATTTCAAGTTTAAAAAATAATGTAACTCGATCGTAAAACTACAGATTTTGCTTCTATAACCTTTAAATAAACATAATTTTAAAGTATTTGACGGATCTTTGATCTGTTTTAGCGAAAAAAGTARGAGCGAAAAAATATTATTTRTTTATTGTATTTWTTTACTAGCTTTCGCCTTAAAATATTATTTATTTATTGTATTTATTTACTAGCTTTTGCCTTAAAAAAGATATAAACATTATATTAAAAAAAATCCATTTATCCGAAAAACACATGGTATTACCCATGATGCACACGATGTAACGGTTTTTGATGGCGCTCGGAATTTTTGCGGTAGTGAAAATATAGCGATACGTCAAACAATTCAGTGAAATGTAATTCATATTTCTTTACAGCTGTTTGCTTTTAGTAGGTTGAAAAAACTCTGAAAAGAGACTATAAATTATTAACGTGAAWTCCCAATTGTCAAATTGTTGCAATAAAAGATTCTGACTAAATTAAATGCTTGTTGCCTACAAATTTCGATATAAAATGGCCCTTTATTTGAACGCAAGCTTTGATTTAAAGAGATGTTCAATATAACATTCTATGTTTTTAAAGTTACTGCTTTAATTGCCGTTCTGTTCAATTCGAAACGAACAGCGGTGTKAAACCTCCCACAGTGGACTAAAAAAACATACTTTTAAAAATGTTGGAGTATTAATGGTTAAACGAACAGTTACAGGCAGACTTCGTAAAACCTACGATGGATGCTGTCCCAATATGATTTTGTATTCGCCTGTATGTAAGCGATATAAAATRATGGGAGAATTTTGAAGTGAATCAGTCACATGACCTGGGACACCTGCCATCCCGTTTCTCGCAAACATATTGTGCGTTTTAAACACTGTCTGGATACCAATATTTGGCTGTCCTACTTTCAGTTTACTTAAAGCGGATATATTCTTTTGAAGTAGATGAAGAGTTTTAAGCGATAACATATATTAACTTAAATTGAAAGCTCTATAACTACGTTCACTTTGTAATTACTTTTAAGTGTTTGTAAAAGAGAAAAAACCCAAAATGTGTTTTGATGCTTTTTGYAAATTTTCAAATACTTATAACTAATTTGTACATATAATCGTATCTATCTGACAATGCAGTAGGGGCGGAGGAGCCGACGGGTTCCTCGGGGAAATATGTCTTCTTATGTCTCAGCCAGGTGAAAGTCACAATGCCATCGAGAAATTCAGGAAAAAAGAACTCTCCAGACAAGGAGTACTTTCTAAGAATTTTTGCCGGGAAAATAACAATTTCCTAACTAAAAAAATATAAGCCGTTTTTTGACCATTTGCAACGACCAAAATTATTCTAAAGAAGGGAGGGAGTCACATTTGCTTGTGATATTGTCAACAATGTAGCTCAAAATCCCTTTCCCAGGAAAAATTCGTACAAGAACAGTTATTTAGAAGAATAGACCCTGTCGGCTCCTTCTGAAATGTTATCAGTGGTTATAATTAAAGAAATGGCTGGCTGGACCGGCGTACAAAAAGTCACTATTCTCCTCTTCTAGCTGATTCTAGCTGTCCTTCGTTCATGTTAGTTGACCATGGGGGAGTGAAATTTTCAATTAAAATGCATAATGCTGGAGGCTCTCTGTACAAGATGTTAATATTGACTTCCCGCTTTTTAACTTTAGAGAACCCTTTTGCGGGCATATATACTGTATATTGATTGGCACATTCAGCGTACTTCCTTTAAACTTCAAATTACTTAGAGGATATATAAATGCACTCAATGGCAGCGATCTTTGACGGTTCAAAAACCGAAAGAGTACATGAAAAAACTGAATTCAAAATCAAAATAACATCACTTTATGTCTTCGTAAGGAAACCAAAAAGTATCCTAATGTATTACACTATTGAAATATCATATAGTTTCAAACATTATCAATTCAGTCTCACCTTTCTCATTCAAGGTTTTTTTTTTGAAAACGCCAGCGACGGACAGAACAAAGTTAAGACCCTTGTTAAAGCTCTTTCATAGCGTATTTCGTGGCTTGTTATGATATGATTATAGTTTTATGGCTTCCCCTGTATACTGCTTTGATTGACGTCATTTCATCTAATGACGTCATGTCTGTTTTGGCGCAATGCATCATGGTCATTGATTAAAGTCTCCAAATGGCGGATCAAGTCCTATGCTCTAAAACCTACGAAAGACCACGAAGAAGAACGAAGTTTATCTGCAAGATGAACTTTTCTCATTGTGGAAATGCTTTGCCGTGAATATATCTAATTCGATGTATTTAATTTCAAAAGATTTCTCGAAAACAAAATGATCTTAGTTTTCAAAGAACGTCGCCTTTCGTAGATTACATCAGACGTCTGAAATTTTAAAACATTTATCAATATCAAGATGCATTTTTTCAAAACAGATAATAAAACGCATTATTAGAGGAAATGACGAATGGATTATGTACTCRGATACAGGAAGAAATAAGCTCCCTGGTGCGACACTTACATGTACATAACCTGCAGCATAGATCTCCTATCCTCTCATGGCCATTGCCGATACAGACTTACACAATTAGAAAGAAACACTATTTCAGATCAGTCGAATCGACTGAAGCAAATGCTTTATGTAATAGAATAATAAWAAAAATGAATAAACTTTAAATTGAACGAACAACTGTATGGATTAG